TGTATGAATACGTTGTATTCATGTTCTGTCATGAGTTAATATACAGTTAGAGTCTATCAAAAAAATTAAATTTTAAATTGACCTGAAAGTGATTTCTTACAACCGTAGTGATCAATGCTGTGTCTGATTTAATGCTTATTTTGCACAATTGCTGAGCCTTTCTTTAATCTGTGTAGGTGGACTTGGAGGGTGAAGGGACAGAAAGTAATTCTCAGTTCTACCTCTCGCATACTCCCTTTCCTCTCAGTACACCCGGGACACCTGGACTGTTGCCAGTCTGATGAGAGAGGTGCCAGGTGGAAGTGCCTTTATGTTGAACTTGGTTGGCAGTTTGGCTAATGAGCCCGGCCCAGACAGCAGACAATGGGAGGGAGCCCTTTGACCTGGCCTTCACTCCAGCTGCCCCGGCTCTCTCTTTATCTCAGGGCAGAAGAACATGCAGGGTGTTATGCAAGGATCTTCTTATTTATTAGAACTAAAGAAGCACAGTCAACAAAAGGAGGGAGAGGAAGCTCTCGTTCATGTTTTCTCATTTATAGTAAATCTGGATTGTGGCAAAGTCACGCACAGGGTGTTCTCAAAGCCACAAGATTCCTGGCATATCCTCTCTACGGTGTTCTTGTTGACCACATGTGCATGTGTGCACATCTAAGTTTTGTGTATATATGTGCATAGATTTTTTTTCATTCATTATGATGGCTCGCAACGGTTTTGTAATCTATAACTCATTTTAACATTTGATGAGAGTAAGCTAAGCTATAGATCCTCTCCCTAGAAAAATGTGCAGACGTACATTCTGTGAAAATATGCATATAGTTTCTTTTTTTTTTTTTTGAGTTGGAGTCTCACTCTGTCGCCCAGACTGGAGTGCAGTGGCCGCTCCCGGCCACCGCAGCCTCGACCTGCTGGGCTCTGGCGGTCCTTCCACCTCAGCCTTCCGAGTTGCCGGAATGACAGGCGCGCGCTACCATGCCCGGCTGATTTTTTGATGTATTGTAGAGATGGGGTCTCGCTGCCGAGGCGGGTCACACATATAGTTTCTTAAAAGTCCATTCATGTCTCGACCAACAGGACTTCAAGAGGTGAAAAGGTTCCAGTTCCAAAGATTTTAAAATATCATGTGCCGTAAGTCTCTTAGCTTATATGTTACGTAAAGTGATTTTTTATCTCCCTTGAGAAGGAAAACGTGAAAGACTGTGCCAGTTCCTCACCTACAACTTAATGCAGAGTGAACGTTTCCTGACCCAGGTCATGTCCTATACAACAAATCTGAAGTTTCTACAAAGGAGGGAATACATGCTTAATCATGATATGCACAAGACACTGATTCAAGAGAAGGGGCCGGAGTGGCAGCACCACGCTAAGCTAAGTGTCATAGGGACATTTCCGTTTTCAGTTATTCTGGGGTTATGGGTCTTAAGCCCAAAAGAATATCGGCTCTTCCTGACTCTAATGTCCTTTCATCTCAGCTATTAAAAACGTCACACTTGAAGGCCCAGTTTATAGCATTCTTCCCTCATGACTTTTCTTTTTTTCTGGAAACCATCTGTAGAATCAGTTTCTCTTTTCCCTCTGTCTTCCCATTACATTTGTTTGTAGTTATACACTTCAGAGTACTTATCAAGGTCCCTTACACTTTAAGTCACCTGTTGAAAATCTTCTTGTCTCCCTCACCAGAATAGGAAGATGAAAGGAGCGCTCTTAGTTTCTTGTAATCAGTAGGTGATCAGTATGAATTTCAGAGGCAAGTTGCATGTTGTTCTTAAGCCCTTTGGCTCTGGAAACAAAGACTTTAGCTCTAACCTCACTTCTGCCATTAATTAGCTGTTTATTTTTCAGAAAAACACTTGAATTTCCTAAGTATCAATTTTCTTCTTTCTGGAAATAGGTATAATAATAGGACCCACTTCACTGGGTTAATGTGGAGATTAAATAATACAGTACATAGAAAGCATTTAGCACAGTGTTTGGATCTCAGTAAGTGTTGAATAAAGGTTAGTCTATAGTCTGTTGAACTGAATTTTAATAAGAAATTTTCTTTAACTTTTTGGTATTTCTTCATATGGTTAATAAATGATGGTATATAGCAAAATACAAATGCATCATACTTTTTTTGGATCAAACTGAAAAAATGAAATCTCATATTATTTTTAGGTCATTTAAACCTATTTTTACTTTTAATATTTAAAGTACCAATTTGGCAGAGAGATGTTTCAGCTTTTATTCTAGTCGACTGTAGGACACTGGAAGGTTTTTTTTTTTTTTTTGAGTTGGGGGTCTCACTCTGATCACTGCTCACCACAGCCTCTACCTCCTGGGTTCAGACAACCCTTCTGCCTCAGCCTCCAGAGTAGCTGGTACTACAGGCACACACCACCATGCCTGGTTAACTTTTCTATTTTTTTGTAGAGACAAGGTCTCACTATGTTGCTAGGCTGGTCTCAAACTCCTAGGCACAAGCAAGCTTCTCAATTCGGCCTCCCAAAGTTCTAGGATTATAAGCGGAGCCACTGTATCTGGAAGTATCTTGATATTACCATGTGGTACTGGTTTGCCTTTAAAACTGTTCCTAAAACATAAAAGACAGGTATCTCTAGCCTCCAAGAGATTCAAAGACCAGTTGAGCTGGTGACTGGTGAAGACAGTATCTTGAATGTAGTTTTTGAGCCCTATACTCCAATTTCTCCCTAGTTATGATCAAAAGGTCCTTCTCTTTCCTAGAGAAACCAGTCAGATAGTCCTGATGGATGAATTTACTGCTGGAAAAAAACAACAGCTTACTTTATTGTAGCAACATTTTTGGATATAAAAAATAGCATAGGAATTTATTTTTTGAAGATTAAAAAAAATTGTATCTCTATGTATACCTTTACCTAACTCCTCAAACTCTTTTCAAATTGGGATTAAGTTTGCTTGGATTTTGTTCATTTTGAGGATCTGGATCAGACACGATTGGGCAAGATTGTATCTTGTTTATCTTCGAACTCCTAGATTCTAGTATATCAGTTAATATATGCAATAAACAGTTGATGATTAAAAATATACAAGGCTATATGTTACATTTCAGGTTGTAGAACTTGGTTGTATTGGAGTGTTTAGTTTTAATAAAGAGAGTAAGATAAAAAATGTTAAAAATTATCTTCACGTTGAAAGTTTGAATAAAAAATTCATTTTTCTGAGAAAACTTCTAGTATCTAAATCAGACTGAAATGTTCTTTGAGAATCAATTTCTGTTCATTATCAATGCACACTTACTTCATTATTAATAAACGCTACACTTATTTTCTTATTTTTATTCTTTCTTTACCATCTGGCATGTTTCTTTCTGATTTCCTGTTTAAATGAGAATTCATTGTATGTTTTTTTTCCTACATGCCAAAACACAGTCTTATGATTCTTATTTTTATGTACAAATCAGTCAAAAGCAGTAGGCACTCTCTTAAACTTCATTGGTATGACTTATTTGATGAGACATTAGAATTATGTATTTGTATTATATGGGAATCGATCAAGTAGCCTACCTTGTTGATTGACTTCTTTTGTCAAATAAAAGACACTTGACAAAGTCAGAATTGACAGGAATAGAAAACCTATTTGGGGGCTCTCAAGACGGTCATCCATTTTTCTCCTCCAGTCTATGTCTTTTCTCAAGCAATACATTTTGCTTATGGGATGGCTTAGAAAATTTAGTTTTTTAACTTACCTCTGCTTAATTTTTAGCTTATTATCAGAAGGGTTTCTTAGTTCTGAAGTCCTGTCTCCGCCCCATAGCCATATCTATTCCAGTCCCAGATGGTAACTAACGGCCGGAGGGGACTTTGTGCTCAACTACATGTCAGGTGGACCCATAAGTCTTGAATACCACTTCCTATCTGTGCCAAAAGTTAAGCAAATGGATGGAAAAAGGCTTATTTTCATGTTTCAATTGTACTTTATTGGAAACGAATGCATTCAAGCTGCAAAATCTTGTTTAATGCAGCTACATTATGGGGATCTGTCAGGAATACTTTCAGCACTCATTTTTTTCAAAAGATCTACTAAAATTGAGATCAATGACTCCTTTATGTGAAATGATTTTGTTAATGACCACTGAAAGTATCCAAAGGCCCACGCTGAAAATTCTGGAAGTAATTCATGTATGATATAGGGTTTAATATCTAAAACAAAATTGTAGATTAGAATTCTTCGGGCCAACCTACTCATGTTACTGAACTGTTCTATAAGGAACAGAGTATGCCTATTGTCTTTGATAACACACCTCTACTCAGAGGCCAATAAAGTTCAGATGGCCCCAGAGACTCAAGACTGAATTAGGATTGAGCCTGGGAAATGTTTATAGAAGTCCTTTAAGAACTGGCTTCAATTGTTCATTATATGCAAGACAGTCTCCATGAAGAAAGATATCTCAAGCCGGGCTCGGTGGCTCAGCCTGTAATCCCGTGCCTTGGGAGGCTGAGGTGAGTGGATTGCCTGAGCCCGCGGGTTCGAGACCCGCCTGGGCAACTTGGCAAGACCTCATCTCTACAATAAAGTCAAAATGAGCCGGGCATGGTAGCGCGTGCCTGTAGTTTCAGCTACTCGGAAGGCTGAGGCGGAAGGATCGCCGGAGCCCAGCAGGTCGAGGTTGTGGTGGCCGGGAGCGGCCACTGCACTCCAGTCTGGGTGACAGAGTGAGACTCCAACTCAAAAAAAAAAAAAAAAAAAAAAAAAAGAAAGATATCTCAGACTACAAGAGGGTAGGCTCAAGAATCCTGTTCGATTGAGGTCAATTTCAAACCTGCTTTGGAGCAAATGGAATTCCTTGAATATCTTTGTAAATTAATTCCATCTCCCTTGGGGCCTATGCTGGGCCTATTTCAAACCCACACTCTTTGGATGTGGTCTCCATCATTGAGGCTGACCCTGAACGAAGGCTATCTCCAAGGGTAAGATTCAGGCTTGACCACTGGGCCTAAGGCAGTTGACCGTACTTTGTCTGACTCCATGTGGGGCTCTATTACCTGATATAGGTTGGCAAGGTGGTGGTTAGTTTTGACCAAAAATGGCTGGTTCACCCCTGGGTGATCGACATCGTGAGCTGCTGCAGCCAGCAGTCCAAGCATAATGTCCAGAGGCGTGAGGAAGTTGGCAAGCTGTTGACAAATCAAATTGAGAGAGTGAGTGGTGTGTTTCCACACATACGCTCACATTTGTTTTCATTAAATCAAACCGAATGAGGCATCATGGCATTGCTTAGGCCTGTTGGCCAGACCTATGTCCTCTGAAGCATTCAGTGAGGTGATATTCACATGGAATAGCAGGAAAAAAGGAAAGAACTATGTGGAAAGTAACTGAGTAAACTCAAATTATGTAGGTCATTCAGGTGTACCCCATTGTCTACTGCCACTCTATTTTGTTTAGTTGTGATGGCATGGCTTGTTGGCAAAGCTGATGTCACTGAAATCAGCTTTGTTCCTCGAGAAAGGTGTAAGTGAAGGGAAAAGTTGAAACCCACATGATGGACATATTTAAAACAATCATTTGCATATTTCAACTATCTAATATATCTTTGCCACTTCTTAGAAAGAAGTGGCTGAATTGCAAAATGTGCATATTTTCTTGATTGTGATAAATAGCGAGCAATGTGAGAGAATCTGTAATTTTTTGGTTAGCTAGAAAAACAGGCAGGAATATGGGAATCCAGGAGTAACTTTAAAAACACAACTCTGTGGTACATTACAACATTTGGACTACTACTTAGAGATTAAAAAAAACAAAATCCAGTAATGTCTTTGGGATATTTCACAAGGATGAGGCATCCATCCAGCTTTGTCCCGAGAATGCCTGTTTGGTAAATATACAATATTTAGTGGTGGGGGCCAAAGCATCTGTACATTTAGTGGAATGGAAAATGGATTGAACTAAACAGTCTTGGACTGGAATATCATTATTCAGGAACTTTAAGAAAACTTGTCTTATACATTATACTAACTAAATTTTAACAGCTAAGAGTTGCCTAGATGTTGATTAATGAGCATTAGAATTATGTTCTTAATTTTTAGTTTTGAATTGGTTTATTGCATCAGAGCATTCTTGCTAAGGGGGTCTTTTGACATTCATGAATTTTTTGGGCCTTGAATCAGGCTGTCCAGTTGACTTAGTAGGAAATGGAACATGCGCATTGAGGTGTTTTGATTCCATTTGTTGATAAAAAACCATGAGATGGGAGACTTTTTCCAGTGAAGTTCAGTGCTAGTGCTGTGTGTGGCAAAGGTCTAGGGCACAAGAACTGGTTCTTGGGACCACTGACAATATCTAAGATGTATCACAGAGAGGGTTGTTTTTTCCTAATGCTGTCTGGAAATATACATAATATACAGGTGGTGGCTTGTGCCTGTAATTCCAGCACTTTGGGAGGTGGAGGCGAGAGGCCTGCCTGAGTCCAGGGGTTTGAGACCAGCCCTGAGCAACTTGGCGAGGCCTCATCTCCACAATAAATAAAAAAATTTAGCCAGGTGTGGTGGTGTGTGTCTGTAGTTCCAGCTGCTTGGGAGGCTGAGGTAGAAGGATCGCCTGAGCCCAGCAGGCAGAGGCTGTGGTAGCTGTGTGTGTGCCACTGCACTCCAACCTGGGCGACAGAAGGAGACTCCTACTCAAAAAAAGAAAATATACAAAATATGAAAGAAAACTTCAGAGGGAAGATTCAGATCCTTTCTTATAAATATTATAAGATTTTCAGAGGTGATACTAAAATTACAATATCAAAATTTGTACTTATATTGTGAATGACTCATAACACAGTCACTCAGATGTGTTGGGTGATCCGGGCCTAGCGGGTAGTTTCCTTGGCATTTCCAGGTAGCTGAGGAGGCAGCTGGGTCTTGCCTTACCTTTGGTTCCTTTAGGTAGCAGTGCATGGCCTGGGTGACGTCGGCCGCGTGAACGGCATTGTGATACGGGTTTTGGCTGTGGTAATCTTCTTGAACCATGACTAGGAGATAAACAGGCAACTCAGTCAGCTAAAATCCAAACGGGAGAGGTGTACTAGCTCAGACTTACTAAGAGCACTTTTTGCTTAAAAATATCAGTGCCTCTGAAATGTGCAGCCTGGACTCCTTTAAAAATAAACGTGGTTTGCAAACTTGGCAGTTCAACTGGGCTGTTTTTAGCAAGAGGAGATGGAGAGCACAGGGAGAGAGGCCAAAGGATTTGTGAGGCCTTGGGATTTCTCACCTCCTTTATAAATTCCCCACCCCCCCCACCCCGACATTCATAAAGGCTGTCATTCATAGAAAAATAAATTTGTAGGAAAAGGACTTTATTTCATACTATAGTTTGATTATGTGTGCTGCCATTTATGAATAATATGTCATCGACGAGGTTTCCTTTCAAAGAGCATCAGACTGCTGAGGTCCAAAGACTGGCTTATCGCTTTGAATATCAAACACTGACCAAAGCAAACCTGGGGCTTCTTCAGGCAGAAATTCAGAATACTGCATAGATGCAAGTGAGGAATTCTTGGATTTATTGTTACCTCATTCAAGTTAAGGTATCATCTTTCACGCTCCTCCACTCTAATGCAAGACTTAGAGTGCTCTTGGAACCAAGTACAGACACAGGCAAGGCAATTTTGGTTTGCTATTTACAGAAGACAGTAGCCTGCTTCAGCTCAGCTCCATACCCAAGGCAATGCCTAGGATGCAATACATTCGGTGTGTATAGACTTGCCTCGGTTTGCAAGTGTGTCCATATTCTCTCAGCTCTTGCTGTGAATCTGGGTCTGGATTCTGGTATAAATCCCACAGTCAAGTCTTTGCATTCTTTACATATTCTTAGGGTATGTATACACATGTCCAAAGTATCTTTATCTCCCTCTTTAGACAAGTCGAAATTATTTGGCCCTATTCATGACCATTACTTTGCTCAATCAATGAAAACACAATCAACTTGAGGTTATCTGTGCTTCTGGAAAAAGCCATGTTGTGGCTAGCTTCAAATATTTCTGTTGTGTTGCATATGCCTTTTATTCAGCAGGTTTATTTTACAACTCTATTTAAACCCTGGTTCTATCACTTATTATCTTTATTGGACAAGTTACTTAACTGCAAAGTTTCTCAGTTTCCTTCTCTATAGAATGGGTATAACAACAACTATGAACTCGAAGTGTTGCTGTAAGGATTACTACGTGTAAATATAGGCAAGTTTTTAGAGGAGCTTCCAGAAGATGTAAGCACCATATTAGCATGGTTGTGGCTGCTATTGTTATCATTGTCACTACTATTTTACTCCTGATGGCATGAAGTCAGTTTCCAAAATCTAAGTACAGTCATGAGGCAAGTCAAAGAAGCCAGAAACATGCTAAGTGGCAGAGAAAAGCCATTTGGTGATTACAGACGTGCCTTGGATAATTCACAAATAAGAATATGCACAAAATCAAATACAAACTTTGGCTACCGCTTGATACAGAGTGATGATTGGAAGTTGAGCGGAAAGGTGGCGGGCTTGCAAGTCAACAGACCTAGGCTTGGACTCAGGTTCTTTCACATACTAGCTGTTAGCTTTGGGCAAGTAATGAAACCTCTCTGCACCTCTTCTTAACTGTGGGCCAAATGGTAATAATAATGCCCAACTCGCAGATTTGTTCAAATGGTTACAAATAACTTACCAAAAGTGCCCAGCTCATAGTGGGTCCTGCATAAATGGTAGTTATTATTTTAAAAATGTCTATGGAAGATTTTAATAACTCATGTTCTTATTAGAATTGAGGCATATTCTACTGAGGGTTTTTAACATGTGAGCAGAGTACTAAATTTTTTGATAACTTAAAGGCAGGTTTTTAGAAGAGTTCCCAGAAGATGTAAGCACCATATTAACCTGGTTGTGGCTGCTGTTATTTGATGATTTTCTTTCTTTCTTTCTTTCTTTTTGAGTTGGAGTCTCACTCTGTTGCCCAGGCTGGAGGGCAGTGGCACGCTCCCGGCCATTGCAGCCTTGACCTACTGGGCTCAGGCAATCCTTCTGCCTCAGTCTTCCAAGTAGCCGGAACTATAGGCACGCACCACCAAGCCTGGCTAATTTTTTGATTTATTGTAGAGACCAGCCAAGTTGCCCAGGTTGGTCTCGAACCCGTGGGCTCAGGTAATCCTCTCACCTCACTTTCCCAAAGTGCTGGGATTATAGGCATGAGCCACCACGCCCGGCCCGATAGTTTTCTTTATATAGACTTTATTATAAACATAACTACAATTGATCCTTTAACAGCATGGGTTTGAACTGGACAGGACCCATTATACTCAGATTTTCTTCTGCTTCTGTCATGCTTGAGACAGCAAAGTCCAACCCCTCATCTCCCTCTTCAGACTAGTCAGTGTGAAAACAAGGATGAAGACCTTCATGATGATCCACTTCCACTTAATGAATAGTAAATACATTTTCTCTTTCTTACTTTTTTTTTTTGAGACAGGGTCTTGCCCTGTCACCTAAGCTAAAGTGCAGTGGCATGATCACAGCTAACTGCAGCCAGGTGTGCCCAGGTTCAAGTGATCCTCCTGCTTCAACCTTCTGAGTAGCTGGGACTACAGGCACGCATCACCAAGCCTGGCTAATTTTTATATTTTTTGTGAAGATGGAGTCTCACTATGTTGCCCAAGCCAGTCTCAAACTCTTGGCCTCAAGTGATCTTCCCACCTCAGCCTCCTAAAGCACTGGGATTACAGGCATGAGCCACCATGCCTGGCCTTCTTATGATTTTTAAATAACATTTTATTTTTCTTGTCTTACTTTATTGTAAGAATACAATATGTAATACATAGGACATAGAAAATATGTGTTAATCAACTGTCTGTTATTGGAAAGGCTTCCTGTCAACAGTGGGCTATTGGTAGTTAAGTTTTTGGGGAGTCAAAAGTTATACAGGGGTTTTCAGCTGCAAGGGGGTAACATCTTAACCAAGTTGTTCAAGAGTCATATGTAATCAAGTAAACAATCTTTCAGGCAAGGCACGGTGGCTCACACCTGTAATCCCAGCACTTTTGGAGGCCAAAGTAGGAGAATTGCTTGAGCCTAGGAGTTTGAGATCAGCCTGGGCAACATAGCAAGATCTCACCTCTACAAAAACAAAAAATAAAAAAATTAACCCAGTGTGGTGATGCATGCCTGTAGTTCCAGCTTCTTGGGAGGTGGAGGCAGAAGAATCACCTGAGCTCAAGAAGTTGAACTGTGGTGAGCCATAGTCATGCCACTGCACTCCAGCCTGGTGACCAAAAAACAAAAACAAACAAGCAAACACAATTTTTCAGGGATTTAAGATGAGTAAGCCATGTTTTAAAGTTAATATAAAATCTCTAAAATTAATTTGAGGTTCTTCACTCACCGTGCTATGCTACTTTATATCAAAGAGTATTATGCATTGTCAGTATTCATAGAAATGGGGGTAAAATATGGATTAAAAAGACTTACCTAAAAATCGGTGTAAGGTCACCATATCTAACTTGAAATGGTGAATGAGTCCATGGGTGTTGAACAGGTGGCACAGCAGGGTTACCAGGCTGTTTCCTAGAAGAAAACAGTCACCTGCTTTAAATCATTTTTATCACCACTAAAATATCAAGATGGACATGATCCGATCCTAGATTTTTTTCTTATTGCACAAAAAAATTAGGTCAAACCTTCTCCCTATACCAAAGGCAATACAGACATTAAAAGTTGGAAGAGAGATGCTATGAAGGTGTCACACACACACACACACACACACACACACACACACACACACACACACACATACACACACACACACACACACACATCTTTATGTATATATTTTTAAAGACATAGTTAGTGGCCACTTGAAATGTGCCTTAAGTCACTTCCAGTAGACTCTTCCATTTACAGGGGTATCTGAACCACCATGTTGCTTAATAGTCATAGCCCATTCTTCCTATGGAAAATTACTCAAAAGCAGATACCCCAAAAGGAGATTTTGGAATTTAAGCCAACAGAGAAGCAACATTGAGGCTGTAATAACTCATAAGCCTTCAAGAAAAATTTAAGAATAATGATTTTGAATTTTAAAAATACAGATACATAGACCAGTGGAACAGAATCCATGCATCTATGGCCAACTGATTTTTGACAAAGGCACCAAGAACTCATTGGGGAAAGGACAATCACTTCAATAAATGGTGCTGGGAAAACAGATGTCTACTTGCAGAAAAATAAAACTAGATCTATCTCTCATCATAAACAAAATTCAACATCAAATGGATTAAAGACCTAAATGTAAAACCTGAAGCTATGAAATCACTAGGAAAAAAAGTGGAGAAATGAAATTAGTCAGGCAGAAATACAATTGATTGGTCTCCTCCCAGTTTTGCAGCTCTTTATAAATTCATTTCAGCATTGCTGATACACATGCAGTATATATTTTTAATATTTATCTGTGGTGTATATTTCATGTATATATGTGGTTCTTTGGCTTTTCCTTTGAACTAGTTATAGCATCTTACTGGTTCTCTAATTAATCGAGTTCAGTAATCTTCGATGTGTGCTCATTTCACATTTCTGAGAGAGTCATGACTATACTCTCTTTTAAACAAATACCATTCAACAAGTACTTTTGTTCACAGGTAACTTCATTTACCAGTATTTATTTCTCAGTTTATTTGACCAAATGAAATGCAAGATTATGTGATTCTTCTCTATATGGTCTTTCCACAGTGTAAGGCCCGTTTCATGGTCTTAGACTATATTTCTCTCAACTCCATATTGTTTGCCAAGTAATAGATGGGTGAGAAAACTATCTATAATGACTTAAAGTATAAGCCTAGTAGATGTTGAGACATACAAATGCCAACATTAAATGTGATGTTTTTCATTGACACTCTAAGCTTATCAGCATTTATTTAATAGGCAGAAGAAAATATAACAGGATTCTATTATTTTCTTAAGGAAGGTCTTCATGGGCACCAAAATTTAAAAAGTGAAACCAACGGAATGTTAACTTTTCCCTTTAGTCTCGGTCTAAGCTTTTATATTCTCTCCTCAGCAATTGTTTTCTTCTGATGAAGACAAGGAGATTTGAGCAAAACCAGCAATGGGGCAGATTCAGCGCACTTAATAAAACCGCACAGTGAGTGGATTGCCTGAGCCTGCGGGTTCGAGACCTGCCTGGGCAACTTAGCGAGACCTCATCTCTACAATAAATAAAAAATGAGCCGGGCATGGTAGTGCACGCCTATAATTCCGGCTACTTGGAAGGCTGAGGCGGAAGGA